ACACCTTTTGGGAGAGCAGGGCTGTGCGAAATTCAATGGAAACATCAGCTCTACTCATATCGTTGTGTGAAAATTCAATTATCAGTCTTTCCTCACCTCAAACGAAATGGGATGAAGATATCTCATATAACTGATTTTCTGGTAGTCTTGAGAGCCTACATAAAAACGAAAATTTTTTTTAGGCATGCTAACACTGCCACTGGTGCCTGAGCGTCACGCTCAAGGTTAGCTAAATACTTCACATATTATATTTGATCGGATTATTGATGAAGGCGCCGTGGTCAGAAAAATTATATCAGTGGTAGAAAAGAATTAGAGTAGAAAGTTTAGTTACATTTCTCTCACTCTCCCTCTCTTTCTATATATAGATATATAACTTATATTTACATATATATATATATATATATGGATATGTGTGTAGTATTATAGATGAATTATATATTTTTATATATTGTGAAATGTGTGCATAGCTATGTATAAATGTTAATATAAATTATATATATATATACATATACATATACATTTCATCGTGGCTATGCACTCCTCTCACAGCAGATACAGGTCTCAGGCCTGGCTCCATATGCAATTAGACTTGGAGCAAGTTCACAACAACTATTAAACAACTATGTATACCTTTAGAATGTCAACAGTGTAAAAACTAAACTCTATGAGGAGTTGGTCTGTTCCAGAAGTCTAGAAATCACACAATAATAACGGCATGGTAATTACGTTCACCCTTAGAATCTATCCATCCTCTGCTCTGCACTTTTACCATTAAGTTTCAGGTCAGCTCTTCTGCCTCATACAAGTTGGAGTCAGATCGCAACAAGGAATGCGCAAGTATGAATGCGCTTGATTGAAAGTCTGCTTCCATCCACTTACATAATTATTTACCCCTAATAAATATATATATAATCCCTTCTCTATTATTACCAATTAGGCTAGGAATCACATTGCTCTATCCATTAGATAACTAGATACCCTTTACGCTCTTGCTAGTCTTTCTCATGCAAGGTCACCCGTATTAATGGAGCCAGAATCACATCACGAGCAATAAAAAATGTGTATCATATTTGAATTTATAAGGTCTCAACCTACATTCATACAAATCGGTATCAAGCCAAGTCTATGGGATGGTGGGAAAAGGGTGTAGTCTCAAGTAAACTTCAGCATTATTTTTCGTTTCGTAACTACCAGTAAATCACTTATATAGGATGTATTAAACCTATTTCCTATAAGGTGATGAAGGACTTACAGTTGATTTTTCTAATAAGGATATGAGTAAAGCTGATGTTTCCATTGAATTTCACATAGCCTTTATTTTCCTAAAGGTCTTCTCATCTTTTTGAGTAGGCAATCGTATATGAAATTCGATGGAAACATCAGCTCTCCTTATATAATTGTAGGAAATGTCATAACACTGTAGCATTGTCCGTACTGTCCCAGTGACACAAAATTTCGGCTGTTTTTTGACAGACAGTTGGGATGGAATGTGACTCACTTTGGCGAGAAGCTGCTTTCCAGTGAACATTCACTGTTGTCTACGAGCACAGTAGGCTGGTTGCACCATTGCCTGAGCTGCCTGTCCTTACCGACTGGCTTGTACCGCTCATCGCTTGCACACAACTCTTCGAGCTTGACTGTCCCCAAGTCGAGTCCGGCCGGCCAGACCGCCTCGGCCTCGTCCCGTCCGACTCTCCTCGACTCGCCTCGGGTCTCTGGCGTCCAAACTAAGCCGGTGGCCTGTCGTCCAGGTGACAGAGCGAGACCTGAACGTCGTAGTCTTGGCTGCGTTGCCACGGCCGTCGTGATAGCCTCGGCCGACAGGCCCGATTTGACTCGTCGAATGTTGACTGAAAAGGACTTGGACTCACCGCCGAGAGGTGGAGCTCGATTGGTAAGGCTGGCTGGAGTGACGCAGACTTGGCTAGAACGACGCGACTCCACCTCTGGCGGGCCTCGTCTCAACGGCGACTCGCTCACGGAGCTCCGCGTTGAGATGGCCCTGCGGATCGGACCGGTTGGGACTCGTACCAGCCAACCTTCGTCACCGGGACTCTCGCCTCTGCCCTCAGTCGACAGGGCCGCCTGCAGACTGTGACGAGAGCGCAAGTCGGGCGTGTAGACCAGACCGTCGGTGGTCTCGGTCTCCACCTCGGTCTCAGGTTGAGCCCAAGATGGGCAACTGGACTGACGACGAGTCGAGGTGGCTGGCGAGTCAAGTCGCCAGTTGGATGAGGCGTCATGCGAGCCAACGAGGCTTTGAGGCGATTCTCGAACTTCGCCTCGAACGGACAGTAGGAATTCGTGTTGCTCTTCACCCAAATAGGCATTCGGTGGAGCCAGGGTGAGGGAGGGAGGCGAGGAGGGAGAGGAAAGGCTCTTTGCTGCTTGAAAGGTTGGGCTGGAACGGAAGTTGACAGGAGAAAGGAGAGACATGCCCAAAAGAGTGGGGCTAGAGTTGCGCTGTCTAGTCGGCGGAAGCTGCAGTCTAGCCTCAGTGCTTGAGCCTCCGCCTTCTGGCCAATATTGCTGTTGAGGTGAAAGTTTATGCAACCATTAGAATGGCATGAGCCAAGCCTAGAGTCAAGATGAAACTGGGCTATGGCAAAACTTTTGGGGTAGCCTTTTGGGTGAAAATGTGTGTTTCTGCGTGTATGTATGTGATGATGTTGGTGAGGGACTGATAGTTGAAAATTTTCTAAACTCATTTGAGCAGGCTCTTATTCAAGATGTACCGGTAGTCTCAAAAGCCGAATCAGTACGGACTGGGCTTTGGTATACCATGCCACTTGATATACATCAATAGAGCTGGATTTAATTTTTAGTCATACTTAAAGCATTTCTTGGGAGACTTTCGTTTTGCTTGAAGTAACATACTGAAGAAATTCCTAGGTCTATCTCACTGGAAGACGGCGGGTGATTCCTATTGTACTACCACGCTCAGGCTGACATAGTCCACGAGGCTTTCTCCCTCATTTTGGGTGAAAACTGACGGTGCTTTTATTTTTCATGTGAAAACAGTATCACAGCTTGGACTCATTTTCGCAAGCCTCACGTTAATACAATGATAAGAAGAAATATTTAGATATAAAGAAAGAAAGAATGGTTTGGTCAATTCCCCTATATTTGAGTCTATTTGCGTGTGTATTAACATCTGTAGGGAATACCAGCAATGACTCAGAGTAATTATAAAAAATTCCTAACGTCAGTTAGGAATAGCTCAAGGAAAAACATTACTGATTTATCTGTAAGTCTCTTCATAATGTACTTACATACGAAAATAAATTCTTCATAATTCACACACACACACACACCCAGACATACTCGAGTATAGGAGAATGAAGCAAACCATTCTTCATCCCTCTATATAAATCTTTTTTCGTTTTAAATGTACATGACGTGTAGGACATAGCTGATCAGTTTCCTTAACTATATATCAACGTCAGACTTTTACAAGAATGAATCCCTGCTGTGATGATGTTGTTAAATTACGAACTAAAGCTCAATCAGTTTTCACCCAAAACGAGGGAAGATGTCTCTTGGACTGCGTCTATCTAAAGGTGGTTATTAAAGTCAAAAGGATGCAAGAAAACTGGAATCAGCCGTCTCTTCATTGAGCACTTTAAAGCGAAATGAAGGTCTTCACAATAACGTTCTCACAAGAGATTGATTGAAACCCTCATTTTCTTCGTATACAAAACTCCACACTTATTTTAGTTTTCGCAGTAGGTTTTCCGAGGCCACCATTAATTAATAGATATGAAACGTATTTAACATATTCCGCTTAAGGTGATAGAGGAATGATAGTTGAATGTTTTTCACGATAAATTGCGCATAGCCTTACTTTCCAAAAGGTATTATCTTCCAGTGTGGACTGCGGTCTCAGCTATCAGTTCTTTCTCACATTAAACGAAAGAGGGTAACTACTTCTCCTTTATATGATCTACTAGTAGTCTCGAGAACCTAATTGTTAAACGATTGTTATAGTGAGTAAAACTCTGATTTCCTTGAAATTTATGTCTGCCCGGTGATCCAATGGCACTTTTGGTAGAGTAACGTAGGTATTAAGGTATCGCGAATACACTTTGCACTACCAAAACCCATGTTCAAGTTACGTTGGGGTGCTGATGATAGTGGGGAAAATCAAAAATGCAGTTCAGTCCAGCCAGGATCAGAGTACCTTCTAGGATTCAATTGAAACATAAAACCCACTTATTTCATTATGGGAAAATCCAACTACCAATACTTCATCACCTCAAATGAAATTGGATTGAAACCTTAATTTCTTATGAAAGTGTAGCTACGTGACATCCACCCTCGTTTCGGGTGAAAACGAGCTGAGCTCTTACAAAAGCTACAACTTAACACAAAGTCAGGAAGACTATTTGGCTCTAGCCTATATGCACATAATTAAAAATGTAACTGCAAAGATATAGATAAATTTAGAATATTTTGGTTAGTTCTCTATTTTATATTGATCAGGGCACATAAAATCGAGTGTGTTTTCATCTGTATATGTACACAACACCAGCCATACTTTCAAAAGAGCCTAACATCAGCCCTGTATCATCAAGTCTTAAAAATCCAAAAAAAAGCATGACCGAGATTGCGTAGGATTAAAATTTACACTTATTGAGATAATGTGATGTAATTCCGTACGCATGTTAGTCAGGTTACAAAAACATCATTCACAGCTCGTCCATCTAGGGTTGTTAAGCTCTAATGGGTCAAGAAAGAGCCTAACCTAAATTGTGTAAGCTTATATGTCCAGTCGGGTTAATAAGCTTCAAGCTTCCACCAAGACAAGAACGCTAAATGGCTCTAACTTACATGTTATACATACCCAAATCAACAGCCAAAATGAACAGAAGTATATGAAGATAAGCACAGGTAGATATCTAATGACTTGATTAGCCTTGGTTCCTGTCATTTTGGGTACTGGTACGGTCCAAATCGTGCGGATAAATGAGTAATCAGAACTGGACTCATCACAGTTTACTGGCCCAAGGAAAGCCATGAGTACAATTAGATAGTCCTAAACAAAAGTCCGGTTGAATTGATGAGCATAACAGATGAGTAAAATATTGCGAATATGGTTAGCACCATCACAGAGCTGATTCGTTCACTTGCATACTTGAAACCATACTTATAGACGAAGAATTGCATACTGTTTGTAGATCAAATCTCTCTCTAAAGGTGGGAAAATTCAATTACCTGTCTTTGATTGTCTTAAACGAAAGAGAGCGAATAGTGTGTCAAAAAAGCCTACCAATAAACGAAAAATAAGATAAAAACGATTGGTTTGAATAAAAATAGCTTTCGTCCTTCATCTCCTTACCAGTTTGCCTTTCTCTTTTTAATGCTGGCTTATTTCGTACCAAATTATCTCCGTCTAAAAATTTTTCCTTTTTATTTTACTCAATCCTAAAGGATAACTATTGCTAGGAAATGGCTTTTTAAGTCTTTATTCTCCCAGTCAGATGTGTTATTTCTTCTAATAAGTATTAAGTTCAAGTATTTTGTATTAAATATGGCAATGAAGTGAATTCTGAAAAGAACCGGCATATGAAGTTTAAACATAAAAATCTCTTTATAGCTTATAATTTCCATATTAATAAAGGTTAAACTATCAATTGCCCATTTATAATTTCATTATAAATTTAATATAATTCTCACTGCGGATAAGCTAAAGTGCTGCCTCTTCGATCAAGCCTTACTTGGAGTTCACTAGGAAATTGTTTGCCCAAATGTGAGCAAATTAGGATTCCATAGCATGTCCTTTTGTGTGTAAACAAAAGTTATCATAAATGTGAAATAAGTACTACATATAGATATATAAAGAAGCCTTAAAATATAGACTCTTCTTCTTCCATACTTTCCGAATGGCCCTCCTAAGTACTTAACAGAGCTTGAATAGCGCCCTGAATCAAACCAAAAATTAATAACATTAGAACTGTATTCACTCTATTTCGTCTAAGGTGGTAAACGCCTGCAAGTTGAATTTTTCTACTATGACATGAGTAGGCCTCATGTTTCCATTTACTTTCACAAAGCCTTATTTTACAAAAGATATTATC